GTTGTGTTGTTGTGTTGTGTTGCTGTGTTGTTGTTTTATGTTGTGTTGTTGTGTTGTGTTGCTGTGTTGTTGTTTTATGTTGTGTTGTTGTGTTGTGTTGTTGTGTTGTTGTGTTATTGTGTTGTGTTGTGTTGTGTTGTGTAGCAGTAAAGGGCAGGTGGTCCTTCATGTCTTCACACCTGGTCTTGGACCACCTCAGTCTGTTGAAGCATCAGGTTGATGTAAAATGTTTGTGTGTCACATGTTGTTACTGACTCACTGGTTTGTGTTTTTGTTTCTGACTTGTTGTGTGTTTGTTCTGCTGCAGACGGTGCAGACACACAACCCTCACTTCCTGGCGGTCCACTTTCAGGAGGTGGGAGGGAAGAACTACGAGGCGTCCATGTCTCACGTGGACAGCTTTGTCAAGTAAGTTTGTTTACATCAGTGTTTAATCTGGATTAATCTGGATTAACCTGGATTAATCTGGATTAATCTGGATTAATCTGGATTAATCTGGATTAGGGATGCACAATAATTGATTTTAAGTATCGATATGATAACTGATAAGTTTCTCCTTCTAATGGTTGATAACCAGTAATAAACGACACACCAGCAGGTCAGACTGGTCAGAGATCAGATCACAACATAAACAAACACAAAGTGACTGTAAATTATAATATTTAAAATAAACTCTTAGTAAACAAACATTTTAAAATATATCAAAGCCATTTTTAAAATAAGGCACATTAATTATAAAAGACTTTAACACTGATCTGATCTAAACAAAGAGAAAGTTACAAGTTCAGAACAGATAATTCACAACACAAGGTAGTTAAAAAACAAACACAATAAATCACAATAAAAACATTTAAGCTGTAAACAAATAAGAGTATATTTATATTATTAAAACAACATGCTCAGMTTGGGGTAAGGTGAAGTTTGTGGCAGGCCGAGTCATTAATAAGACCTGTGAGTTTCACTTGGTCTGTGTTGTTCATGAAGAAGAATCCAATAAAGGTTCTTCAACACCTCCACCTGGTGGTGAAGTGTTGAACTACAACAWGAGCTGCACCTCTCTGTAGCTGTGAGGTGTCATGTTACATTATTGTGCTTGACACATGTTGTGTGTGGAAGGATAAAAACAAGTAAACACACTCACCTCTGCGCTGGAAAACATGAACACATGTTATCAGTTCTGTTTATGATACAAGTATGACGTCATAATCTCCTGATACTGGGCACCCCTAATCTGGATTAATCTGAGGGAACCACTGGTTCTAACAGATCTGCATTCATTAACAAGAATATTTATTTTAAAAAAATGTTTCTACATTTCACAATAAAAGTCATGAAAAACAAGTGACCTTCTGTTATTACACGTGTTATAAGACAGTAATAACCATCCTGCAYCAGCTCAGAGGCACCTGTGGAGATAAACAACTTCCTTTAACAGGAAGAACCAGAACCTTTAGGGTTCTGTGTAGGAACCACTAGAACCACAAAGAACTGTGTTAGTAAAATATTGAGTGAAACGAGTTTGTTTGTTAGAAACAGTTTGTTTTGAGTTTGATTGATTGACAGCAGCTGATCTGTTTGATCCTCAGAGAACTTCTGTCCAGTGAGGCCATGAAGGAGTTCAGCAGGGCCCGGGTCTACCTGGATGAGAACTACAAATCCCTGGAACACTTCACAGTAAGTCCTGATCCCCAGACCCAGACCCTGACCCAGACCCAGACCCGTTCAGAGTCGTTCAGAACCCAGACTCTCTGACTCCTTTAACAAATGTTCAACCTTTTGTCTTGTTTTATTGGAGCTCTGAGGGACATCGGGGGTCTAGGATCTGGTTTAGGACCTGACCCTGGTCTCTGACCATGTGACAGGTGGAGCTCAGAGGAGTCAGGCTGCAGTTTGTGGTGAACCAGTTCAACCATGAGACAGGCTGCAGTTTGTGGTGAACCAGTTCAACCATGAGACAGGCTGCAGTTTGTGGTGAACCAGTTCAACCATGCCAGAAACCTGAAGCAGTTTGTGTTTTATGGGGTGTAATGGCAGCAGGGGGCCACATGGGGGCAGCAGAGGTTAAAGGATGAGTTTTATCAGCTTCAACCTGCTGCTGGTTTCCTTCATGATGAACAGAAGTCCTTCATTCAACTTGTTACACAGCTGATGGTTAAAAACAGTTTTATTACTGAACTTATTAAATGTTTCTTAGAGTCGACAGAAAAACAGCAGCTGATTGGTTGGACTGATGTCAGAGCAGGACCAGGTACTGAGAGACTGGTACCAATACATCCCTGTATTTATATACAATTATACTTTAAAAT